CTGCAGGTGCAATCTGCAGTCTCAACATGCTTGGCAGAAAGCTTGAAATACATGGAGTTGACAGCAGCTAGAAGTGAAATGACACCAAAGGATTCAGTTGACAATTTCACATCAAATCCCAGTACATGTACCGTAAATTGGTGACAGCATGAAATGAAATCCCAATACTTCGGAGTTGATTTAGCGGAGTTTATCTTTACAATGAGACTGAGTCAGCACAATTTTAAAGGGGGGATATTTCCTTCCATGTTTGTATACATGTACATTCATACTACGTGATAATCTCCAAGAACAAGAAGAGTATTATCTAGATGCAGCTAGAGAGGCTTTTGAAGGTGTGCTGTTTGGTTTGATTGAGTTTGTTTGTTTGTTTGTTTGTTTGTTGGGATGTTGGGGTGTTTGTTTGTTTTTTATTTTGCTTTCCTTCTTTTTTAAGATAAAATCTTAACAAATGTCAGTGCTTAACCCCTTGACGATGGGAATTTCTTCCCGAAAGCCGACTCCAAGAATTCCAGCCTCGCTTGGCGACGAAGGCCACATGCCAAACCGCAAATTATCGGTTTGTGGCCCTGCGTGCTCTGCACGCTTTGAATTACACAGTGAAAAGGCTGATTGTTCGGTGGCATGCGGCTCTACTCACGGTTCCACATTCCCGTTGCCTCTTTTCAAAGTGGGGACAATTGTGAAGCTGGTGATTATGATGCAAAATCGGTCTTTTCATTTCTGGGCTATGCACAAAGACCAATTACCATATACACAAGAGCCAGGGTCTGCCTTCTTTCACCGTGTTCGCTCGAGCGTGGGCCGGGAATAATAGCTGAAAAGCGGGCTGAGGATCTCAATTTTTACGGGGGCTATAGCTGCCTCCCGTTGCGAAGGGATTAAGCGTGACAATCACAGAGTGTGCTCTGGGTACTTAGTTTGAGATACACGTACGTACATGTACACTAAAAACCTTTGTAAAAATTCCACTTGTTTTCATTCCCCTCAGATTTTTACTATGGATTCTGAAAATTCCAGCAGTATGGAATAATATGGAGTAATATGCAACAATGATGTGTTTCCAGGAGCAGTGTTTTCATTTACAGTGCAAATATATGAATTGTTTGTTTTTTTCCCAGATTTGTCCACCAGAGTGGACAAGGTTAAAGAGGAGAATTTGAAATTGAAGTCAGAGAATCAAGTCCTGGGCCAGTACATCGAGAATCTCATGTCAGCATCGAGTGTGTTCCAGTCGACATCACCAAAGAGCAAGAAGAAGTGAGCAGAGCATTGCCATGTGAAATATAATGAGTCAACTTCATTTAACCCCCTGCTGCTGTAACCGTCAAAAATGTCGGGTTTTTTTTTGAAGATTCCTTCCTCTTGATTTGCCCCAGTACACAGACACATATGGGAAATGTGACTGATTCTGACCGATATGACCACTGTGTCAAGAATGTATCTTTGCATATAAGGGTTAATCAAGGTCCACTCCTATGACACCGTATTCGTAATGTGAATACATGTACTTTCCCTAAGTCCTTGAGAATTTGGTTACATGAAAAGAACCAGAACAAACCAGCGCTCTGGTTAACCGTCAGGTTTGTGTCTATTAGAAGATCAGCAGAGCAGTTTCAAAGAATTGGTTTTCACTACCCCCGCAACTGTGGTATTCATGGATTCAAAGCGGTGAAAAGACCCAGGTTAATTTAGCAATAACGAGTTCAAGGTGACCAAGTTTGAGTCCAATGTAAGCAAGCCATTTAAGGGTTTACATAATTTCTTCATCTTTTTCAAGAAAGGGGGCTTTGCCACAACTTTTTCCTTTCCCTGGTTTAGCCTCTAGAGTTATTAGACGCATTTTTTATGTTGGTAAGATCGAAAGAAGTCCTTGAGAAAAAGGTCCCAAGGGTTGAATAGATTACTCTATATTTGATTTCATGTGCATTTACATGTACATGCACAGCATATAATGGGGTCCCAGAATTAAGGGGCTAGAATGTTAATAACCTATAAAACAGCTTTCAAGTCTCTGCTTGGCTCTTTTGCTTGAAGAACCTGAAGATGCCTACGCCTACTGTACGTTAGGTTTGTGTTGTGTTGAGTCGAATTGGTTTAGTTTGAGTAGAGTTGATTTTGTTCAAATCACATGTAATTTGATTTGACTTGATTCGAGCCAATTTGATCTGATTTGATTTGAATTGCAGATCAGGAGGCAAGGGGAAGAAGGCCGATAAGTGAGTCCTGCAGTACGTCCATGTGTGTGTGTGAGTGTGCCCACCTTGTGAAGCTAACCCCCCTGCTACCTGCAGCAGAGGTTGCAAGGATGGCGCAGCATCTCGAGTATTGAAGAACTTTTTTTGCATCCATCCTGCCATCCAGAGGATGCCGGCCTCGACGAAAGTTCTGCTTTGTGACCTGCACGCCCACACTGCAGAAATTTTGTCCGGGGTTTTGTTTAAGAAAAACACAAATCTTGAGTCCGTGGATGTTAAGAGATTATCGCCAACTCACTGTTTTACTGAGGAACTTGTCAGTGCTGCATGGATCCTTGGTGCATGTAAGAAATATGCAACATTGCGTAGCTATATTTGGTCGTCTGTTTACCATTTTCAAGTGTTGTACAAATGCTCTTCAAAAGAAAATCTTGCAGTTTGGCTGAGGGGAAAACGTGACCGTTTTGTGATTGTACCTGTGAAGCGGCATGATTTGTATAAAAAACTAAAAGACTGGTAGTCTTGGTGTGTGGTAGTCATATTTGCAAACAAAACATATCTAACAGATATACATGAATTACAAAATTTTGTAATCCAACGGGTTCAACATGGGAGCATTTCACAACATTAGCATTACCTTGGCTTGCATCGATGCATAGTTAGTCTTTACACCAAATTAGATTTGGCTCTCTTTTCACAGTCCATGGACTGTGCTTTGTATCATGCCTTGATTTCCTTTGATTCCATGTCTCCGAGTCTGATTTGTGCACGGACCTTGCATAGTACTATGCAAAGTAACCATATACATACATATACCGTGCATGCAGACAGCCTTAGGTTTTTTTCCCCTTTTCGATAGTCTCTTCTTGGGCACTTTACTTGAAAATCTACATACAGTATTCAATAGAATTGGTATGATTGGTCACGTATTGCTGGTAAAGGAGTGTTGCAGTGTACATAAGATGCTTGATATCATAGTTAATGCTTCAAATATCAAAACAAGTGCAGCACCACAACTGTTAGTGAAAAAAGTGAGAAAAGTTACTTGGAAAATGAACAAATGTATTCTGGCAAATTTTGACTCCTGATGGGAAATATCATTTTAAGTGAAAAAGTTAAATTCTGGTCACTGTCATTTCAGCTTGATTTTTAGTTAAGTGCCTTGCTATGCACTGTATTTGACCTGTACCGACCAAGCTTCTTGTACATAAGTGTGTAGGACGTCGTACTTGCAGTCAGTACCTTACTAACCACTAATCACTGAGTGCTTATTACAAACAAGTTGTCCCAGATTTCTGATTATGTGTGTGTGCTAAAATCGTGGATTGGGTTTAAGCGAAGATGGTTATTCCATCTAGCATGTGAAATGATGATAAGTCCAAGATGTTTTGTGGCCATAGTGTCAGATGTGGGATGTCAGAAGTTTGATGTGCCATAGTCGCTTTATACTTAATCTAAGCTTTTTTATGCTCAGTATTAAAAAAAATTCCAACTGGATGTCTTAGAGGGCATTTTTGAAAAGTTTCAAAGGGTAAACAGCACAGTAAAAGTGTGATTCTTGGCGACAGTCGAAGGTCCATCTTTTTGGTCAGAGATAACAAAACAGAACAGGGATTCCATACTGGCAAAGCAGTCATGATGAGGATGAATTCAAAGGTTTTATGAGTGGGCTTTCTCTGGGGAAAGTGGGATGGCAAATTGTTGAGAATGGAAACAATTGGAAGGCCTCACCCAAAGCCATCCAGATTCTTTAGAATTGGTGGCGTATTGTTTTCATATTGCAGGTTTGAGGAAGGTTGGTCATAGCCACTTGAGCTTTATATTGCTTCGATGCCTCCTCAAAGGTGAAAAGAAGTAGGATGTGTGATTGGTTTCTTTTGTAGTGGTGGAAATTACAGGATTCAGCAAGGCTACCAGCAATATGCCATGGAGATAGTTTAAGAGGTTTTGAGAATTGAGCCTTGTATCGACATATGGGCTTACAGCATGAGTAAATGATTTCATTTGCTCCGTTGATCTTGCTTTGCTCGAGGAAAAAAGGAAAAATAAGACCCGTGTGGTATTTGAATGAGTTTGGCAGGAGTCGTCATAGAAATCAACCTAAAACAACAGCATCTTCACTCTGTAAGAAGCACTCCAGTATTTACATCCAGTTCGTGTCAGTCTTGAAGTTGGTGTCAAAACTGTGCAGTCTCAATTTTCAAGTCAATCTTCCTTATTATGACAACAATATGTACTGTAATTAATGTGATTCTAATAATGTACGAGGACTGAGTGGATGCACATGTCAGTGACATACTGATCTGTACTTGCATTGATGCTTTAGTTTGCGTGAAACTTACAAGAAACATCAAGTCCAAACCAAATGAAAATTTGTGAACTTGTGCTGTCATTGTACTTCAACTAACTTCAGCATTGTCTGTGAGCATGATGCCCTGTTCTGTTCAAAAGTCGCTGGATTGCAAACGCAATCTTTTGCAAGTAATTCAACTCCAAAACATTGAGTACACAGACAGAAACTAGACCTGCAAGATGTTATGTGATTGATATTTGAAGTAAGTACATGCATGCAAAGATATGTGCTCAAGACTCTGTAGCATGTGTGTAGGTAAAAGATGATCACAAACCACCGTGTTCAGTTTGCTGAGATGAAATTGTGGCTCAACTTTTCCAACAATTCAACCAAACAATTTCTAATAGCATTTTTGTGCATTCACTCGTATGATAGGAATTGTTTTTCTGCAAATACATTGGTTCAGATTGTTGTTGTGTTTTCTCTCTGTCCTTTTCTCTGCTAAAACATTTTTATAGTTGCGAGTTTTATTTTGCCGATAACGAACCACGAGTTCATCCTAAATATTTGTATATCTTATGTGCAATAATTTAACTTCTAGCAGTATTTTTCTCTGTAAATTATAGGCACATGTAGGTAGTGTACATTGTTCAGAGTAGTTCTATTGTTTTTGGACAGGGTCATTGTAAAGTGTACAAGCACGTTTGTAGAAAAAAAATGTGGGTATGTTGATGCAAATCTGTTGGAATTCACACATGGCCATTTGCCCAAGCTTGAATGCACCGCAGAGCATTGTGGAGACACTGCATATGGTGGATTTGTTTTCTGGTCATGTAAATTGTGTAATCATGTCACCGTTCTCTGAGATGGCAAACTTTGATCCCGATGTGTCTTGAGAAGCAGCAGTGCTTGTATCTCCGCCGCATTAACATTTTCTACTTGATTTCAGATCGAAGGTGACTTGGAGCAGAATTTTTTTTTCAGGTTTCTCTGGCCTCAGGCAAGAACGTGACTTGCTGTAATTATCCTTCCCTTGAATCCATGAGGGAAAAACAAACAGAGGTATTCAAATTGTATATTGTCATGTAACATCAGGAAATTGGGAAATTACATTCTGGTTTCTTGTAGAGGCACATCAAATCAATTTGTTTTGAAATATGTAACAAATCAGTGTGGTCCATTTCTCATGACATGTACAGGTACTGTCACATGAACGGACATGTATTATGCACAGCTTCTGAATCTTTTTGGAGTTCTTATTCCTCAACGTAAGATGTGTTTGCTTTGTGAAGCGTGAGCTTCCTCAGACAGCCAAGGACATTACAAAGAAAATAATCAGACTCCCAAATGCTCTCTGTGCTCGGTCACAACAGTTCACTTCGGCTTGCTTTCTTACATGCTGCCCAGTAGGCCTGTGTACTGAAGATATCATACTGTTTACATGTGCGTTTTCATATGGGAGTCAGGATGGGAGGACGGGATTGACGGATTTGATTTGGAGCTCCATAGGAAAGCGTACATGTCACAAAGCTTGATGTCAGTGCATACGCCTAATGAACTCTGAAAGGAAAGCAGGCCAGGGAGATTAATTAAAATAGCACTGTACTCAATACGGGCATTTCACAATAGTTCACCTCGAAAAGTTAGCGATGTGTTGGCCAATCACAATGCGCGAAATCTGTCGATCCTTTCCAAACACGCGCTGGGTCGACAATATCTCGCACTGTGAGCAAACTCTTGGAGGCTCACTATTGTGAAATGCCCGTATTGAAAGCTGATTACCTTCAAATTTGATGACTATCATCGGCTTATGTTACGTCACTGCCTGTGCCGCTTGCTGAATATGTGACTTGTCTTTATAAATGAGGCTTGTAACAGAGTAGACTGCCAAAATTGCTGGTTTTGCAGGGTGACACCTATCCACAACTAAATAAATCCGGCATTTATAAATACAGTCGAACCTCGTTAATAAGAGCACTGTTAATACAAGATTCTGCTTATAACAAGGAAATGTTTAGGTCCTAATTTCCTGTTATTGTTTTCACTCCTGATAACACGAGGTTCCTGTTATGACAAGGTAATTTGCCAAGTCCGAAGGATCTCTTGTTAACGGGGTTCGACTGTACATGTAGTTCAGTAGTGCACGTTAAGGATTAGTAAATGAATCGCAGCAATCTTGAAATTATCACCTGTATCACCTGCTGCTGATTATTAGTTGCCATCAAAATGATTGATCAATGGAATGAAGGCATTTTTAATGTGACGATTTAACGATTTAATTTCTTTTGTTTCAAATTTAATCTCTTTCTTTTGCCAAAGAGACTTGTAGTTGACAGGAGCTTGAAATCATTTTAACACGGCTGCAAGTTGAGTTTTAAGTTTTTTTTTTGGCAACACCAACTTGTCATGTACATCCGCAATTTCCATGTCTTTGAACAGCATATTCTCCCTCATAAGGCTGGAAAGTGTTTCGTGCATTACACCCAAGGACAGATATAATCAATATCATCAAACCAAGGGTTTTGGTTTTTCTTCTGGCAGTATGTAGAAAGGTTTGTCATCTGCACACTTGGATTATTTCCGAGTCATAGCCTGCATGTGATGGTGGTTTATTTTGGGACCCACTGAGCAGATGACCTGTGATATTTTAAATAGCTTTCATTGCTTCTGAATGTTGATTTGGTCGTGTGTGATGTAGAGACAATATCTTGGCTGTAGTGGGAACTATGCTATAATTTTCTATCGTGGCCGTTTGGTTTCCACAGGTGAGGTTCAGGTCTTGGTCACTGATTCACGTTTCACTGGTTTACTGTCGCACCAATTTGCTTCAACAGTGTTGATATGGGAGAAAAACTGAGGCAAAGTAAGTCTATAGAGAACCCCAGGGTGTATGCACATTGTGTACAGGATCCAATGAGGTCAGTTTTTATGATCTGCAGATTGGTGGAACCCCAAAATGTTACAATTTCAGCATTGCCAAGTTTTGAATCGGAGGGGGAAAAAGGTGGCTTTTACAGCATTCTTACACATGTAATACTGGTAGTGTTTACATGCATGACTTTACAAACTGACAAGACTTGGAAGCAACTCTGTGGAATTTGGAGAGACACACTGGTCGGGTGGACTCGTATCTGAAAATGCTTGTAGCAAAGACTACTCTTTTGATTGCCTGAAGTGGTTTGGAATAAAGCACTCATTATGACCATCTGAACCACATTTTTTTCTTTCTAAATTTTCAAACTTCCTTTGAATATTATACAATGTAATCATCTTTTTGACCAAATTTAAATCCTCTAAAGTTTGATTTGTTTCCTTGTTACTTCAAACTTTGAGAAGTGTATTTAGTGTAGATTTAAGTATATTGTGATCGGAACACCTGTAAAAAAGACATAGATTCCTGAATTTTAAGTAACCTGCTGTATTTATTGATTTGTAATCTTGCCATTATGCAAACAATGATGCTGATGAAGAAATCGTGGCTGTGAAATAAACTGTGTAGCAGAGTAGTAGAATCAAACCACCTACCATATTTCAGTGGCGTCATTTGTTCAAGAAATGTCTTTGCCCAAGAACCTGGATTTAAAGCAGGATGTACATGTAGTTGATGAAATCACTGCTTACAATGTGCACATGTGGTCTTGCAACCAAAATTTCAGTCAGCGTGCTACCGTGATTCTTTCATCGAAAACAATTCTTTTTCAGAGGTAATGAACACTTGCACTTACATACAGCATGTTCTGGTTCTGGATATATGTACATGTAAAAGGTTTGTGGTGAAAGGACGTCTGTCGTCAAGAGACTGCCCAACAATGGCAGCAGTCCCCTGACGACAGACAGAGCATACTACCCAAATCATTGAGCATGTGCACCCTCCAGTTCATTTCAGTACCATACATACAAAGAGATATCTTTTGCCTGATGCTACAGCAAATGTTTTACTTAACACCTTCACCATGACAAACTTCCAAGCTGACCATGTATCAGGTTGTTACGTGACCAGTTTGCCAGTTCATCTTCAGTCAACCCCCACTACCCCTCAAAAATCTTGAACTGTCGTATACAATCTGTTCATGAAGACAGTGAGTTTTCCAACCTGATGCACTTTTATCAAACGAGTCGTCATTCATCTGTATTTCTTGCAGGACACCAAGTAGCCTTTGTGACTATCAAGTTATAAAATGTCCAGAATAACTTACAGGAAAGGGTTACCTTTTCAAAACCGATTTCTACAAAAGACCCAAAACTATACATCTATTTACAATAATATACACCCACAGGTGTGTGCTGAGTGAAGTCAACACAATCTCAAGTTCTCTCCGTCTGGACGTTTTTGTCTCGCACACTGCTTGTGCATGAACGATATGTCGCCAGCTGGTTCAACACCACTCCCCTGCTCCCAAACAGGAATCTTCTCTGCTTGAAGACTAGACAAGTATTTTGGGCAACAGAAATGCCTGTTTACACCACACGAACACATACATGTAGTCTTGCTACAAGATGTTACTACTCTTCGTCGAGAGCAAGGAGGAATCTCTAGTCGAGTCAAAACTGCTTTGGCAACATCAACATGCAAACTATTCTACACGTGTACATGTACTCTAATGTAATGTGAAATCTTTCTTCTGCCACCTTTCAATTTTATCATTTCAATTTCCTGTGTACCAAGTACAGAAGTTTTCTCAGCACATTTTTTTATAATGTACATGTTTTATAAAAATGTCTGTTCGAGTGCACTGACCATACTTACCATGTACATGTACATACGGAGAGAAAAAAAGTTTACCACACGAGTAGCTACGACATGCATGAAGAAAAATTATTAAACAAAATCAGATAGATTCTGAAGACCATTTCGAAGAAGTTGGCATTTTTCATTTGCTGGGCATTCCCAGCGGAACACCCTGGGGGCAATGTTGTGACTAACGGAGGGGGGAAGTTTCCAGACGGCCTTCTAGTAGACTCTGTACTCGTAGAAGTACATGACACTCCTGGCAATGTTCCAGTTAGTTAGGAGAGATATCACAAATATGCAAATGAGGACCAGGCACGGCGGGTAGAGGAAAGCCACGGTGCGTCTTAAGAATGGCAGAGCTGTGGGGTGGAGAACACAGGAAGATGATCAGTGGTGAGACAAGTGGTTAAGAAGAAATGTATGGTTAAGACTGATCCGTGGGCCACGCTCGAGAGCTTGTGAAACACATTCTTCAATCTGAGGTGCATGTGCATGTACATTTGGGCAATTCAAGTCACCCATATTGATCAAAGAGATGCTTCACACTTGTACAGATGAACCTCATTAATACGAGGTCCTCCAGACTTTGTAAGTTACTTCGTATTATCAGTAATGAAACAACTAAAGACAGGGACCAAAAACTTTCCTTGTAAGCAAAATGTCATATTAGCAGTGCTCTTATCAACAACGTTTGACTATATACAACCTTAGCATTTAGCTCAGTGGTGGCTCGTTAGATCAGTCTATGAGGTCATTTAGAAATGTGGTTGAAGGGCTTGTACTGTACACCATTTGAGACCCATTCTATTTGGGCTCCACCTTTTTTCTATGTCCCCGTCACATCTGACGCAAATTCAGAACAAAGTCTTTAATTTCTAAGGGCTGGAGTGATTACGTAATGCACATCATCTGCCAAGCAAATAATAATGCATTTAGTTTGAAATCAGCTTCAATATTTCCACGTCAAGTTACACAGGTCACTTGTAACAGAGACACACAAAAAATGTCACACTTTTGGGGAGCCCGACTTTCAAAAATGACCCTTTTTTGTCGTAGAGAGCAAAATTATTCAATTCCTAAAGTGACATTGGAAACAAAAGGTTTGGTTGTTACACTCACCGCTGTATCCCAAGAAGGTAACATAGATGTAATAGGTGATGGCGATGAGCCAAAGTGTGTTACCCAGCAGAGTTGACAAAAAGCTGCTACGGTCTAACAACGCTGAGGTACAGAAAATATAAAATAACTTGATTGGAAAGAGTTGCAGTGACGACTAGGCTGCTGGCATAAACTTGCTTCCATTTGTCACCACAGACCTGAAGATTTGTATCTTAGATCACATGTAAGACCTCGAAAGAAAGATTTTGCTTGAAGTAAAATTGTTTGGCCCTCCGGATTAATCTCAAAGAGTTCCTGAGAGCTGTTCCTGCTTCTGAGCAATTTGTCGCAAAATTTCTCCTACTGATTATCTGATCCTGTGGGCCACTTGTTTGCAACTTTGAGCTATCTTTGAGCTAACAGGCCTAGTTTACAAGTGTGCCAATAGATTGTACTAAGTAGTACCCATGTGCGCATGCATAAGACCCAAATGAAATCCTAGTTGGCCCCATGTCTAAGCCATGGCGTCAGACAAGATATCTAAGGCCAGGTCCAACTTATTAGTTGGCAGTTTCCACAGACGTGTTATTTTCAGGAGTGGCCGAGGAATTTGGACACTTCCAGAGTGAGATGCTGAAGCAGAACCTAGCCTAGCTTAGCTGCACTCGATGGCATTAGGGAGGGTCTCATCGTTCTGAACGGTTGGAACGTCCCATTCAGGACACCGAGTTCTCATTCTGGAACGGATGGCCTTCCACCTGGTAACACAGTTTTCCCGCTGGAATGCTGCCTCAGCAAGGTCTATGCATGAAGTGGAATGCTAGTGTTCCAGAGGGAACAGTCCAGCAGAACACACATGTTCCAAACTGTTGAGATGCTCCCTTAGGTTTGACACAAGTAAACTCCTGCCTGCTTCCAAAAGTAGTAGTAAGCCCAGCAGTTAAGCCAGAGCACACCCTCTTGATCAGGCTGGGAATACACTCTCGCATCAGGTGGTTATTTCAAGATGGCAGAGTACATGTATTGGGAGTAACACATTCAAGGGCAGCCATAGTTTCTGCACCCTCTTTATACAAGAGATTTTTTTGTGCACATTCAAGCAAAATCTGACTTTGCAGAGTATGTGCCAATCCAGCATTCACACTCATATCAACTTACGGATATAAAGGAGGAGTTGCACAACATGAAGGATGATAAGGAGTGGAAAGAATGCATTAAGATGGACATCAAAGGCAAAGCCCCACTCTACATCTGGCTTGTTTCCTCCCGACACTCTCAGGTATCTGTTGGCCACAAACCTACAGCGGAACAATTAAAACATCACAACACTGCAGGGAACACCTGATTCATGTCTGGGAAAAATTACATCCAATTGTCTTTTGTAATCATGAACACTTTGAAACACGTTTTCAATTGATTCGTTAACGCTAGCCATGCCACATCCAAAGAAATTCTACCCAATAAGCCTCAATGGCTTGGGCTATGCAGTCAAGACATGTTTAAATTAGACAAGCACACTTCCGTGGGAAATTAAATGCATATAAGAAAGATTTTAATGGGTCGGCAAAGCCAAGGCATATCAATGCTTCTTGTCAGCATAATTTCAGAAGCAGCTAGCGCTGCGATTTTCAGCAATGTGATCAATGTTTGTCTCGTCTCACCACAGCACTGTTGCAATCAACAGACCCACTCCAATACAGTCCACAAACACCACCCACAGCAGGAACTTGAAGAAATGCAGCACTCCTAGCTGCAAGACGATGGCGAACCCCACAGAGGAGGCTGTGAATGCAACAAAGAAAGATGCAGTGAAGACACTGACAAAGGTCCCAGCCTCTTTTAATGGGTGAAGAAGATTTCTGGTCTTGATTGGCGGGCCTAGGAGGTGAATAGCACCACAGTGATTACATAGAATATAGTTTTTATTCCATTGGGATGTACAGATACTAATCATTTCATTCCAACATCACACATTCTATTACTTCACTGCAGAAAGATCAATTGACCTATGTAGTGATGACATCAGACTTGGTTTACACACATGCACCTTGCTATGGAGCCAGTGGGGGCCTATAGTTCGATGCGTACCATAGGAAAGCATGAATGAAAACAAAGTGTGCAGTTATCAATACAGGAGTCTATCCGCTCTGAGCAGGAACAAAAGAGGGCGTGTTTCAAAATGAAATTGTCAGTCCTTTGGTAGGTGTCACAAAGTTCCTTTTACATGTACCTCTCAGAAGACTTGTACATGTTTATGTTTGACAGTGTTGTTGGCTGTAGTCAAATCTTCTGTTGGTCTAAGGTTGAATGGTTTCGGTGTAAGAGAAGGTTAAAGGTGTGTTCGTCGCGGGAAAATTTTAAATAGGTTTGGGGTCCTTGGGACTTCTGGGGTAGTGCGACGTCGCCAGGTGATTGTTTTTTGATATATGACGCAGTAGCGAGCCAGAAAAGCAAGTACGACGAATGATAACAGGACCAGAATGTTTGCTGGGAGGTGGGCTCGTAACCGTTACGTGAACGATCCTCAAAGGCAACTTAATGAGTCAGTCACATTGTGCCGAATAATGGCTGTACTATCAAAATAAGCCAAAATAACGTTTAATTTAATACCAGCGTGACAGTTGATTGGGAATTGTATTTTGGATTCTCGCCACCTTTTGAATTTGTAATTCTAAGCTTTAACCAGTGCCGTTTCATATGATTCGATTGAGTCTGGTGTTAGGATTTTGATCGAATGAAAAATCGGTTGCCGTTGGTGATTTAAGTTTGTATGTAAATGTTGTATTAAACAGTGCGCACTGATTTGTTAAATTGATTTAACCATTTGATGTTGAGCTGTCTTCATAATGTATTCAAATACCGAGTACGAGTCAGACCATAATGAACCTTGAATTTCTCATTCCTCATCCAAGCATGTTAACTAAATAGGCTCTCACCCTTCTTACAGAAAATAATTTTCTTCTCGGGTCGTTTGACTCCACGGGGTCATTCTGACAGTAGGCATTCCCTGCATAGGCGCGCAAGTTTATACGCGTTTGACATGGAGGACACCGAGTGCACGCAACAAATTGAGTCTGGAGTTTATGGCCGTTGCGTGCACGCCGAACGCGTACAAGAACCCGGCTGGAAAACTTAGTACTGTCTGTCTTTCTGCCAGTGAGGGCACACTTCAGCTCAGGGTGGATTGTGAACTGCCTCATCTACTGGGGCAGCTGATGACTGAGGGAAAATCATGCTGCGTATTTCTAATCCTTACAAACAGCAGCCGGTCTACAGAGTAGGTTCATTAAAAATCAGGACCACAAACAGGCAGAGGGGGGCATGGCCCTGTCCGTTAAACCTGGATCTAACCTTGTTAATAGGAAAATACACTTGCACATCAATGGATGTATTTTATGTTAGTCGAGCTCATCTCCAAGTACAGTGAGTACTGATGCCATTGTACCGAAGACTCATTCACTTCTGGATGGAAAGTAACAACTACAGCAATGCATCCCTGGTATGAGCCACCAAATTGATCTGAAACCACGGCTGCATCCGAATCTCTTGTCTAGAGCTAGGTCTAGGTCTTCGCTCCATTAGAAATGCGTGGAGATGCGTAGGTACGTGTAATAGACCTAGCCGTAGCTCTGGAAGCCCGTTTCGGACACGGCCCACATTTGGAAACCACCTCTACAGAACCATGTTAAATCTGAACTACTGAAGCCAATGATCATGAGGCACTGTGTTCATTGTTAGCTTACCACATAAGCAAATGCTGAGCAGGACAAGGAAGGCAGGGTCATCCCTTGCCCATTGGTCCTTGGTTTCTATGGAAACAGAATGTGAAATAAACAGAAACTATACAACTGAAAACTGTAGGGAGGAAATTCCCTGTAACATTTGTAAATAAATGTTACAAAGGGGATAAAAATCACTGTGTAAAATTGGTGATACCCGATAGATATCCACTATCCCGTTTGTAAGTGACTTCGTCACAAAGGCCAACGCGCCACGATGTGTAAGCTTCCATTGGACGATCGCTGAAGTTGTGTGTTAACTTCCGGTTCCATGTAAATGGCAAACAATGCGTGTAACTCCAAGTGCAGTGGGCGTGGTTTAAACTGAAGTGACGTCACACTTACGAACCGGATACGCAAATTCATACACTCGTTTGACCACTTATTTAGATATAATTTGCATGTACGTGTAAATGATTTATTTATCTTGATGTTATCTCTTGAAAACTTCCTTTCAACTCTGACCTCTAAGCATCTGAAATGCAGAATGCCAGCTGCTGATGATCAACAGACATAATGTATGTAGATCCCATGTGCTTTCAACTGAATATTCAGTTGAATCAATTCTTAGTTGATTCATTCTGCTTTGGACCTTGAAGGTACATGTACATGTACTATGCACGTGTACACACACTTGATGAATCACTTACGTTTGCTATACTGGAAATTACGGTACCTGCAAGGGAAAAACACCAAGAAAACTTTTCAGATTGATATTGATTGAATATCAACCGACAAATTTACAATGGTGCATGTACCAATGCACAGGTGGACCATTCTGCCAATTAACTAAATAACCACCAATCTTTATGCTCAACAATTTCCTCTATGCAGATTTTGTAAGGGTGCATAATTTCCAAATGTATACATGCTCACTTGGGTGGGCCTGTATTATTTCTTCAACATTTTGTTCAGTGCCAATGTTAGAAAAATGAACCAAATTCACTCCAACAAAAATGTACCATCTACTGTAAGGCTGACCAGTGCACAAGAATGGTAGCTGGTTTTCAAAAAGTCCTGAATTGAAGAAAACGTACTGCAGATCCTGGGAGTGGATGACGTTTGATTTTAGCCCCACTTACACTTTTTGTGGAGAGACAAGTAAGTATATCATTTGCCACATTGCGAACTCAAAGTCCATCTGCCGAAACATGAGAATCCGGCGCATAAACTTGCGACGTTTGGCCTGCGCCGTGTGTCTGTTCTCCAGCATGGGGTTGGGACTGGTTGGACGAGACCCATTTGGACTGGTCGGGGGAGACGACTTGGCTATGATGACTGACGTCAACATCTTCACTTCAGGTTTCCTCTCATCTGCTGAAGTTAATGCAGAGTGTAAACAAACGGTTATTCGATTACAAGTTTACCTGCAACAGTAATCATTTTGTATTTGGAAGCGTAACTGGTATCTTTACGAAATTTAAAATGGAGGGCCTGACGTCTCTATCGGGTAGAATAACTCTTCTTTTGCCTAGCTGAATTTACGTGTACATGCACATTAAAACTGGATAAACATCGGGCACTGTGACTTTTAAGATAAATTTGTATGTCAGGTCCTAGTCAGATGAGCAGTCGGAAGCAGTTTTCACATTTTTCAGTTTTTATTTAATAGCTCAAGAAGCCAAAGTTTGTGTAGATCTCATGAACAAACGCTAGTTTTTCTTTGAAAAACTCATACTTTTTTTGTCATGGCCCATAGACTTTGTGCATGACTCAGCAAGTTATACTCTTTCTCGTTTTAGATGTGAAGAAAAAGAGTGGGCAATGTGAATGTTACGACTGTATGCTTAAGTGCACTCATCATGAGTCAACTTGTCTGAATCAATGATTTGTCTCACCCTCAACGGTCAACTTGTCTGCCTATTTGAGGCACAGACAGTCGAGCTGTTCAGAGCTGAGTCGGCAAAGGGTTCACTTGTCCAAACCCCTGTTT